GACTCAGATTCCTTAACTTCTCAGTTTAACGAGCACTGCCTCTCCATTCTGGACAACATCTGTCCTGTCAGAACCAGATCAGTTCCTGCAGTGAGCCCTACTCCCTGGTTTAATGACAGCCTTCGCAGTCCAATGCGCCAATGCAGAAAATTGAGTGATTGTGGAAGAAAACCATTTTCCACGTCCTTCTGCTGCACCTAAAGGATCTTCTGACATCCTTTAACTCTGCAGTCAGAGACGCTAGGGTTTCCTATTTTTCCAACCTGGTGTCCCAGAGCAAAGGGAACCCCAAGGTGCTGTTTAACACCATCAGTAGCATCGTCTCTCCTGCCTCTCTTACAGCCTCCATCCACCCTGTTGCAGACTGTGAGAACTTTCTGTCTTTCTTTGTGGACAAAGTCAACAAGGTTAGATCTAGCATCTCTCCTTCAGCCTTATCACTGCCCCTCCCAACTCCAACCAGGCCCATCATCCTAGATAGCTTTGCTCCTGTTTCTTTGCCTGAGTTAACCAAACTAGTTAAGTCTATGAAGACCTCTGCATACCCCCTCGACATCTTACCCTCATCTTTGTTTAAACGTGCTTTTCAGTCCATCGGTCCCAGCGTGCTCTCTATAATTAATGCTTCTCTGGTCTCTGTTCAGGTCCCTGCTTACTTTAAGAATGCTGTAATCCACCCGCTTCTTAAAAAACCGAGTCTTGACCCCTCTCTCCATAGGAGCTTCAGACCCATCTCTAAACTTCCGTTCATCTCCAAGATCTTGGAAGAGGTTGTGGCTAAACAACTCACAGCTGCGCTTGATGAACAGAACGTCTATGATTACTTACAGTCAGGTTTTCGTAGAACTCATTCTACTGAAACAGCTCTTCTTAGGGTCTCTAATGACCTTCTGACTCACAGTGATGCAGGGGACTGTTCTGTTCTGGTCCTGCTGGACCTGACTGCAGCCTTTGACACTGCTGACCATCACCTGCTACTGGAGAGGCTGAGAGACTGGGTAGGCCTATCAGGATCTGCTCTGGAGTGGTTCTCCTCTTATCTTTCTGAGCGCTCCTTTTCTGTGGCGGTCTCCAAGTTTAGGTCCTCCACCACCTCCCTTACCCATGGTGTCCCACAAGGTTCTGTGCTGGGGCCTCTGCTCTTCCTCCTCTATCTGCTTCCTCTTCAGCACATCTTGAGCTCCTTCAAAGGAATCTCCTACCATCTTTATGCAGATGACATCCAACTGTGCATCTCCTTTAAGCCCCATGAGATGTCTAAGCTGCAGCTGTTACACACCTGCTTATACTATTAAAACCTGGATGGCTGGGAGCTTTCTACAGCTGAATGAAGATAAGACTGAGATTCTCATCTGTGCCCCAGACAAGCTGGTTCCCAAAGTCAGAGACTCTCTTGGTCAGCTTGCTTCTCACACCAAACCTTCCATCAGGAATCTTGGCGTGACCTTTGACCCAGCTCTCACACTGGATTCTCATGTCAGTTCTTCCTTCTTCCATCTCAGGAACATTGCTAAGCTGAGTCCCACTCTGTCCCGCTCTGAACTTGAGATAGTTATCCACACCTTCATCTCCTCACGCTTAAGATTACTGTAACTCTCTTTTCACTTGTCTGAGCAAAACCTCCCTGAACCGTCTGCAGGTGGTTCAGAATGCCTGTGCTCAGCTTCTGACCAAGTCCTCCAAACACACCCACATCACCCCGCTTCTCCTCCAGCTTCATTGGCTGCCAGTCAACTTCAGGGTTCATTTCAAGATCCTGGTTCTGGTCTATAGGGCCTTACATGGACAAGCACCATCTTACATTAGTGATCTTAGTCCCTACACCCCCAGCAGGTCCCTGAGGTCCAGTGATCAAAGCCTACTGGTTGTGCAGCGCACCAGGCTAAAGACCAAAGGTGCCAGATCATTTAATAATAATAATAATAATAATAATAATGCATTTAATTTATAGGCGCCTTTCAAAACCCAAGGTCACCTCACAAAACATGATAAAACTGACACACAAATTAGGATAAGATCATTTAAAAAATAAAATTACAAAAAGTATGCTATAAATTTCAGAGTAAAGAGTTTGTGGGCTAGAGAGTGTAAGCCAGGTTGAGCAGGTGAGTTTGGATTTGAATGAGAGGAGGGAGTCAGTGTTTCGGATGTCAGGAGGAAGTGAGTTCCAGAGCCGAGGAGCAGAGTGACTGAAAGCTCTGTTTCCAACGGTGGTGAGATGAGTAGGAGGAACCACAAGGTGAATGGCAGAGGAAGACCTGAGGGAGCGAGATGGGACAGCAACATGGATGAGATCGGAGAGGTAAGGAGGGGCGAGACAGTGAATACATTTGTAGGTGAGAAGCAGGATTTTGAATGAGATTCTGTGTTCAGTAGGCAGCCAGTGGAGACGCTGAAGAACAAGGCTGATGTGATCTCTAGGGGGTACGAGTGATGATCCGTGCAGCAGCATTTTGGAGGAGTTGGAGCCGATGGAGGGATTTATGGGGGAGACCAAAAAGGAGAGAGTTACAGTAGTCAGTCCTAGAAGTGACTAGGCTGTGTACAAGGATGGCTGTAGGATGAGGAGTGAGAAAGGGACGGAGTTGTTTGATGTTGCGTAAATGAAAGTAGGCTGAGCGAATAATGTTGTTGATGTGGGCTTTGAATGATAAGAGTGCTGTCAAGGATGACTCCAAGACTCTTTACATGGGGGGGAAGGATGGAGGAATTATCTATGTTAATTGATATGCTGGGGGATATGTTCAGCGTGGAGGGTTTGCCTATGAGTAGAATTTCGGTTTTATTGCTGTTGAGTTTCAGGAAATTTGAAGAGAACCATGATTTTATCTCAAGGAGAAAGCTCGATAGGGAGACTGGAGGGAAGATTGGGTTGAGAGGAGATATAGATTTGAGTGTCATCTGCGTAGAAGTGGAAATTTATCTTGTATTTGCGAAATATATGGCCAAGTGGAAGAATGTAGATGATAAATAAGAGAGGTCCAAGGACAGAGCCCTGGGGAACACCGGCAGAAACAGCAACAGGGTGAGAAGAAAAGGATTTTAATTGAACAGACTGAAATCGCCCAGTGAGATAGGAGAACCCGGCGAGAGCAGTGTGAGTGATACCAAGGGAAGCTAACCGGTTAAGAAGGGTTGAGTGAGAGATGGTGTCGAAAACTGCACTAAGATCAAGAAGGAGGAGTAGAGAAAGAAAACCGGAGTCAGCTGCCATGAGAAGGTCATTTGTGATTTTAACAAGAGCTGTTTCTGTGCTGTGTTGAGGGCGAAAACCAGACTGGAACTGTTCAAAAAGGTTGTTATGATTGATGTGGGAGATGAGCTGAGAAGCAACAACTTTCTCAAGGATTTTAGAGATGAAAGGTAAATTAGAGATTGGTCGAAGGTTATTGAAGTTATTGGGATCAGAGCCAGGCTTTTTTACAATAGGTGTGACAGAAGCTGTTTTGAATGCTGAGGGAACAGAACCAGTTGTGAGAGAATAGATTATAGATGAGATTAAAGGGAGTAAGGAAGGGAGACAGGCTTTGACAAGAGAAGTGGGAAGAGGGTCAAGTCTGCAGGAGGAGGGTTTGGACTTGTGAATCAGGTCAGAAATATCAGTGATGGAGGGAATCGAAAAAGCTGAAAGAGGATAAATGGGAGGCAGAGAGGAAAGATGGAGTTCTATTGGAAAGGAAGTATATTGTTTGGTGTCCAGCTGTTGGTGGATAGTGGAGATTTTTTGATCGAAAAAAGACGAAATTGAATTACAGAAATCATCAGAGTAAAAGAAAGAAGGAAGTGAGTCTGAGGGGTGGGTAACATTGTTGAGAAGAGAAAAAAAGAGATCTAGGATTTGAGTTTGAACAGATTAGAACAGAATAATAGGAGCTAGTAGCACTGATAGATTCTTTGTAGAAAAGGATGTGATTTTTATACATTTCTTCATGAACCGAGAGACCAGTTTTATTGTAGAGGCGCTCAAGTTGTCGTCCTTTTACTTTTAGTTGGCGAAGAGCAGGAGTGAACCATGGGGCTGAGTGGGAAAAGGAGACAGTATGGTGTTTTTCAGGAGCAGTTGAATTCAAAAGGTCAGAGAGGTAGTGGTTGTAATGGGAAACCAGGCCATCAGGAGACATGGGGTCATGCGGCTGAGGAAGGTCCCGGATAGCAGCGGAGAAAGAATCAGTGTTAATGTCCTTGATGTTCCTGAAGGTGATAGTCCTAGTAGTGGAGATTTTGTCCATGGGTAGGTTTACAGTGAAGGAGATGAGTTTATGGTCAGAGAGGGGGAATAACTCTGCTTTCAAACCAGAGGGGGTCACCCCAGAGCAGCAGGCCAGGTCCAAAATGTGACCTTTACAGTGGGTGGGAAAGCTGATGTACTGTTGGAGATCAAAATTATCCAGGACGGAAAGGAAGTCTCTGGTCAGGGGGATATTTCCGTTATCAATATGAATGTTGAAATCTCCAAGAATTACGATATTGGGAGAGAGCAGGAATAGATGAGTGAGGAGGGCAGAAAAATCACCCATAAAGTCCTTGTTTGGTTTAGGAGGTCGGTACACACTGCAGATGATGGTAGGGGTGGGGCCAGAGAGCTGGGAGGTGCTGTATTCAAATGACTGGAAGGATGGAGCAGACACTGGGAGGATCTTCAGCTGTTTGCGGTGAATCATCGCGAGACCCCCGCCCCTACCAGTGGAGCGAGGCTGCGAGATGCGTACAAAGTCGGAGGGAGTAGATTCGTTAAGATTTATAAAGTCATTAGGCTGCTGCCACGTTTCAATCAGACAGAAAATGTCCAGGTTATGACTGCGGATGAGATCGTGGATGAGAAGACCTTTGCCCGTGAGCGAGCGGATGTTTAGTAGGCCAAAGTTAATGGTGGAGTTAGTAAGCTTTGGTATGGGGTTAGCCGGGCTATCGAGAGGGGTTAAGTTGTGATGGACAGCCTCGGAGTTACCAGAAATAGAGTTGCGTGAAGGGCGACGGGATGTGGACCAGATGGATCTTACTGAGTGGGTGTCATCATGGATAAAGTTGCGCCGGGACCCACGATGGACATATTTGCTACAGGGTTTGAGAGCGATGTCCGGGAACAAGAGGAGAGCCGCAGGTGGGGGGACCGCCAGGTGAGCACAGAGCCAGAGAAGCTCAGATGACAGATACTGGATCAGTGCCGATGATGGATGAAGGAAAATGGAGAGGACAGCCCAGGTGAGAACAAACCAGCCAAACAGTCTGCAGCTAGTAAGCATCTTAGCCGAGAGTAGATATATGGCAAGGTGTGGATGAGATAGGTAGGGCGTTGTCCAGGTGGTACAGGGACCAAGAGGCCTCTGGTACACACAGCAAATTAATGAAAAATACTGATATCCAAATTAGAGATTAAAAACAGATAAAAAAAATAAAAACAGATAAAAATAAAATCAGGTAAAACCGTCTAAATTAAAAGCGGATAGGAAAGACCAGAGAGCAGCGGCAGCCAAACATGCCAGCGTCCACTCAGCAGGTGCGTCCAGGAGCTTGACTTTTCTACGTTTGTGACGTCACATTTGCTGCTGTGGCCCCCAGACTCTGGAACGCTCCCCCCATGAGCCTGAGATCAGTGGACTCCTTTAAAAAGCAGACAAAAACTCACTTGTTCAAGCTAGCTTTTGTATGACTTTCTTCACCACTCTCTCTTTATTCTGCTCTCCCCACCTATTCCACCTTCCTCAGGATCCACTGATTTCCCTCTTTCCTATTCACTCTCTCTCTTTCTTAACATTATCTTAATCACAATTGTCTATTTTTTGCTCATTTTAAATATATTTTTAATCATTTTCTAAATTATTTTTGATATTTTTACAGGCCTCTTGAGAGGCGCTATAGAAATGATAATTTCTTCTTTCTTCTTCTTCTTAATTCACTAAAACTAGGAATACTAGAATATTCCAAACATCCAATGAGCAATAATTATCATACCTATGCAGTTATGTCAGAAGTGGAGTAACATTTGTTTAAATTGTATAAAATTCAGGTTTTGCATGTAAATCTGTCTCACCTTGCACAGCATAATTAAGACACTAATAAATACAGTTATTTGATCTGTGAACACAAGATCCCTTAACCAGAGATCGACTAAACTTATTCAGTAATTAAAGAGAAATCCAGACGTCTTTACCCCCAGATTACCAACTAGATTAAATCAACCATGATGATCTAACTAAATACTGACACCTGATGAGGGTGATAATCTACAACGGAGTAATTTATGTCTGAAACCTTTTTCAATACACTAAAATCATCATCAATCCACTGTTATTAGATTTCCTCATACCTGAAAGGAAGAAAAATAAATTAAAAGTAAAGCCCTGCAACTACTTGAAGCCACAAATATAAAGTTTAGTAGATTTTATCAGCAGAAATCTTAATAAAAGTCTGCAGGAGTGGTGCTGTTAAAAATGGCGTGTATGTGCAGGCCTTTGTTGATATGTGGTCCAGCACGATGTGTCTTCGTAGAAGCGGTTTACAACAGCTTTTCTTCTAAACACAAAGGTGCAAGTGTGAGATCTCACCACACTGCGGTTTCCACTTGTATCTCTCAGCGCCAGTCGGAACTCTCCGGCCCGGCTCGGGTCCATGCTGAGCTGCAGGCGCAGAGCCTCGCTGCCTGCTCCGGGGAGGCACAGAGGTCGGATCCCGGAGTGGGACACCGAAACGCGGACTGACATCAGGACAGTGCTGCAGCATGCGGTCGATAAAGGCCCGCTGCAGGTCGCCTGTTGTTGGGATGAGGCAGCCACCGGGGCTGGAGGAGCCCAACTGCCTGAGCTGAGAGCCATGTCGCGGACACAAGGCGGAGGGAGGGTCGTTTCTGCTCCCCGCTTCGGCTGTTGGGTCTATAAGGTCCGCCGCTGCTTAAAGAAAATGTATTCGTTTATGAGCAGGCTACAGTTATACTCTAGTCTTGCAATTTTTTCCATTTCTACTCGAACCGAGCAGATGAGGGAGCAAGAAAAACAAAATAGGAAGCAGAGGGGTTCGTCTGTTATTTACGTCCGGGTAGAAACAGAAACTTGAATTAATTGTCTGACCTCAAATAAACCACACAATATATGTTGAAGAAAATGGAATAAATACAAGGTAATGTTTATTTAAAAATATTTCATTTGTGTATTGTTTACTTTAAATCGTGTTAATTTATTTTGTAAAAGTTTAACAAAAATCAAATTATCAGGCAAATTATCATCATCATTATTGTTGTTGGTAGCAATAGTAGCAATGTTATCATCGTTGTCATCCTCAACATTATTATTATTATTAGAGTCTCTAATGACTTTCTGACTCACAGTGAATCAGGTTCTGGCTCTGCTGGACCAAACTGCAGCTTTTGACACCGTTGACCACCTGCTACTTGATAGACTGGGACCCCAGGGTTTGCCTATCAGGATTGATTTTCCTCTTAACTATCTGAAGATTCCTTCTAAGTGGCCATCTCCAACTTTACGATCTTTCTCCACCTCTCTTGCCCATGGTGTCAGCAGCTGTTACACTCCTGCTTATACTCTATTAAAACCTGAATGGCTGAACTTTCCACAGCTGAATGAAGATAAAACTGAGATCCTCATCTGTGCCACAGACAAGCTGGTTCCCAAAGTCAGAGACTCACAAAACCTTCTGTCAGGAATCTTGGCCAGCTCTCACCCTGGATTCTCATGTCAGTATTTTTGTTTGCTCTTCCTTCTTCCATCTCAGGAACATTGCTAAGCTGAGTGCTATTCTGTCCCACTCTGAACTTGAGACAGTTATCCACACCTCCATCTCCTCACGCTTAGACTACTGTAATTCACTTTTCACTTGTCTGAGCAAAACCTCCCCTGAACCGTCTACAGGTGGTTCAGAATGCCTGTGCTCGGCTTCTGACCAAGTCCTCCAAACACACCCACATCACCCCGCTTCTCCTCCAGCTTCACTGGCTGCCAGTCAACTTCAGGGTTCATTTCAAGATCCTGGTTCTGGTCTATAGGGCCTTACATGGACAAGCACCATCTTACATTGGTGATCTTCTTAGTCCCTACACCCCCAGCAGGTCCCTGAGGTCCAGTGACAAAAGCCTACTGGTTGTGCAGCACCAGGCTAAAGGCCAAAGGTGACAGATGATTGTTGCTGTGACCCCCAGACTCTGGATCTTTCTCCCCCTGAGCCTGAGATCAGTGGACTCATTTAAAGATCAGCTGAAACTCACTTGTTCAGGCTGACTTTTTAACTCATGTTTATCCTCTTTCTCAGCAGCAATGTTTTTATAATTTCTGTATTTTTTCAGGCTCCTGTTTGTTTTTGCATTTTTGTCCTTTTGACCATTTTATTTTATCTTTTCAAAATTGTATGTGCTTGTGAGGCACCTTGTGATTTTTATTTTAAAGGGTGCTATAAAACATTTCTACTCCTTTGTCTTCTTCTGTCACTCAAATGCAGACAAATACATCAAAGTTATCCATTTTAATTTGAAAGTAGCAACACTTGGGGCAGATTTCAGGTAATAAGGAAGCTGATGCCATCTGTGGGCAGCATAATAGCTAAAAGCAACTTAAAACATAGAAATTAAGTACTATAACAGTTGATCTCACTCCATATTTTTGTATTTACATTCTAGTTTTTCCTGAGCTCTTTATGACCTAAACTGGATTTAATCCAGTCAGACCAGTTTGTGTATCCCAGGCAACACTGCGTCTTATTTCTCTCATCGTGTGAGATCAGGGCTAAAAGTTAACGTACTTCTGATGATATTGGCTTAGCCTAGTAAAGGAATAACTGAAACAACACAGCAGACCATCCTTTCAGCTGAATGCAGAGCCTGTTAATGTGGCATGTATTAACACATTTCTGTTATATCTTCAACCATAAACCTTGCTTTAGTTACAAAAAGCTGCAGAGAAGAAGAGAAAGTTCTGCTCACACCATGTCAAACTATGATCAGACAGGAAATGAGTCGGAAATGTATGTCATGCATGAGATTTGCTCCAGCGTGAAGAACATGAAGCAGTTGGACTTTTCAGTCCTGGTCAGGCGGGCAAACCAGATTAAAGAAGAGCTCAAACAGGTAGATTAAAAAAATGTTGCAAATCTGCAGAATATAAATGGTGCATAACTTTTTTGAACTGTCTTGTCCACAGGGAGTAAAAAAACCCTATCGGGAGTTGATAGATGTCTCCTGGGGTGACCCACACAGGACAGGTGTGAAGCCTCTGTCATTTGTCAGACAGGTAATATGAGATCCACAAAATAATCTGCAGAGATGCTAATTTTTATTAACACCAACACAATTTTTTGTTGTACACTGTGCTACAGGTTCTTGCAGGATGTCTTTACCCCCAGCTTTTGGAGAGCAATAGACTAAAGGTGGACGTCAGACAGAGAGCTCAGAGACTGCTGGAGACGTGTGCAGGAGGGAGTGTAGGTAAGAAAGTAGGGATGCATGAAAAATACTTAACATCATAGCATCCTAGAGCATGAGAAAAACATACAAACCTGCAAACTTAGAAATTATAATATTTTTATTATTTTGTATAATTATTTTATTATTTTCTATAACTTAGACAAAAGAAAGTCTGCTTTAAAATTAGCGCAAAAGTTGGAAATTTGTTTAGGAAAACGTTTTTGCACATTTTACCACTTGCTAAAATTGAAAAATCCAAGTCAGTTCAACTACTTAATTAATTTATTTTTTTCTTCAGGCTCCTATAGTGACACGGCTGGTTTAACACAAACACTTAAGAAAGTCTCTGAGTTCATCACGAGACGAGACGGTGGCGTTCCATCTCACCCTGACAGCATTTACATCAGCCCCGGCTCACAGTGGTCTCTCACGGTAGCATTACCATGTTTACATGTTCCTGCTTCTGTTAAATATCACATTTACCACTTATTCTTTAATTATTGCACTTATTAGAACATTCTGAACATCTTGGTGAATCCTGAGGCTTCACCCAAAACTGGAGTGCTGGTTCCAGCCCCGAGCCACTGTGTGACGACTCAGTCCATACTGGGTCTGGGAGCAGAGGTACTTCCATACTATCTCACGGAGGAGCAGGGCTGGGCGCTGCAGGTGGAGGAGCTACAGCGGGCGTTTGACTCTGCAAAGGGAGTCTGCAAACCTTTTGCTCTATACATCATCAACCCAGGAAACCCTGCAGGTAGCAAAAATCCGACTGACGTGAAGATTTTCCCAGTGGTTCTACTTTGCATTTATGTTTTTGTCACACCTTGTAGGTGGTGTTCAAAGCAGAAAATCTATGCAAGAAGTGATTAAGTTTGTTTCAGAGAAGAAGCTCTTTCTTCTAGCTGATGAGGTGAGTTCATCAGCTTTGCAGTTTATACAAGATTTCTATGAAATACTGATGAACTTGCATAAACCAGCCTCTGCAATCCTCTCCAGGTGTACCAGGAGTGTGTTTATGGGGAAAACGTTGAGTTTTTATCCTACAAAAGAGTTCTGGCTGAAATGGGGCCTCCACTGTCAGAAACAGTTGAACTGGCATCATTCCACTCAGCATCCAAAGGCCTCATAGGAGAGTGAGTATTTTAGCGCTGATTAAGCCACTTTAGGCTAGGATTTCCTTTTAAAGCCTAAGGGGGAAACTTTAGGCTTAGAAAAATATTGTTTTCCTTAAATAAATCCTCCCCCCCCTCAATTTTTTTTTGTAGATTTTCATTTTGTTGTAAAATATCCTGGGGACATATTTGGCTAAACTTACCTTTTACATCCTTTTGTGCTGCCATTGGGTGGCTCTACTTCCTCAATTGAAAATTCCAAACGTGAGAAAAAAAATTATTTAATTTGTTTTCTGTCCGTATGGTTTTAAGAATTATGTATCTAAAACAAGCCATTTCAAAATATCCCTATTTGTGACATCACATGCTAAGAGAGAGCCACTGCACCTCCAGTAGCAGTCGCTCTACTCCGAGCCCCTCCCAGATATCGGAGCATATTAGCTAATAGGGAGCCTAAGTCTCCTCCCCCTTCAGCCGGCTTGTGGATCTCCAGAAGAACAAAAGAAGAAAAAAAAAAAACAGTGAATGCAAGTCAATGGGGCCAAAGAGATATTTTCTAATCTGCTTTGCCTTATGTCACCACTGAATCTCAACGTTTGCTAAAATAACAGCCGTTTTTCCTCTGCTTTTCTATGTGTCTGGTTCGATGATGTCAATTTGGTGATGCGCATATGTGGTCCTGGATGTATTTTCACACAAAACCTAAAGTAACATTTGCTGTCGCTGGACATCAGAATGTGTCTTTAAAATCCGACAAATTATGTGGGTCATAACCTAAAGGAAGTTGTATTTTTTTGCGATATTGTGTCTGTGCCAGCTCATCTAAAGCCTTGGTACTATTGCTTTCATCCATTGTGCTGTGTTTTGTAGTGGAGCAAAACACTTCCTGTCCCCCGTTTGAGTTTTGCGCGACTGCAGAGTCACCTGTGTGAAACTCAGCAATAGCCCCATGGACTTGCATTCATTTTTTCATTCTTCTAGTGACCCATGGTCCGGACGTGCGTGGCTTAGACTCCCTATTGTAGCCTGAGTGAGGGATGGGTGGGCGTGGCCAGCTCCAGCTTCTTTTCTTAAAGTGACAGAGTGACACGGCTCATTCTGGAAGGTACTGAAACGGTCAAGAATAAAATTGCTGAAATAATTTAATGTAAGTGGGATTTTGTGCAAAGAACTTCATGAACATGTTTTGTATTGACCATAGAACTATTATAACCTAAACAGTCATGATGAGTCCCTTTTAAAACAACTGCAGATTGAATGCTGATGGCTTAGACTCTTCCTGTGAATCTCCCCCACCAGGTGTGGTTTGCGTACTGGTTATGTCGAGCTGGTAAACCTCGACCCCTCTGTTCTGAAACTCCTGGACAACTTATTCTCCACCAATTCCTGCGCACCTGTGTTGGGTCAGCTCACTCTGGATTTGATGATAAACCCTCCCCAGCCAGGAGACCCCTCATACCCTCTTTTTTATGAGGTAAAACACATGAAGCTGCTGCAGTCGAGTCACTTCTTTGACTCTCTGACATACAGCACTTTGTAATGAATTTGCACAGGAAACGCAACGTATCAGGACCACGCTGATTCAAAATGTCAGGCAAGTGTTTGAGGTTGTGAACAGCTTGCCAGGTTTCAGCTGCCAACCAGTGGAAGGAGGAGTGTTTGCATTCCCCAGAGTGTATATTCCACCTAAAGCCATCCAAAAAGCAAAGGTTACAGCACAACGCACGTTCTTAAAACTACAATATCAGTGGTTTTTCATGAGATGTGATGTGTTTTAGGAAGTGGGAATGGAGCCAGACACATTTTACTGCGTCCGACTGCTGGAGGAGACAGGAGTGTTGGCCAGACCTGGGTCTGAGTTTGGCCAAAAAGACGGCACACATCACATCAGGTAGGACTCCAGCACTACCCTAAATATAAAATATTAAGTTGTTTTGAATCATTAGAAATCCTGTAAGGCATTCATCAGTAGCTTCATATCTTTGTGTCAACAGATTTTGCATTATGACCCCCCAGCACATCATGGAAGAACTACTGAGGCGCTTGAGCATCTTTCACACCAAGTTTATGAAGGAGTTTTCTTAAAAAATACAAATAAAAATAATTTTCTGTCAGCACAGTCAAAAGAATCACAACCTTCTCCTGTTGATAAATGTTTAATCATATTTCAATAAATCATTTGATATTTACAACCAAATTGAATGACTTTCTTTACTCATCAGAGTAAAACCCGACCTTTGCTTTTTAGTAAAGCAAATAACTTCAATTTAATCTAAAACAAAAGTCCAAAATCCAAAAGATGGATTACACAGAGTTCATAATTTACAAGATTAACAGGATATACATATCCATGGTGGACTTCCACCTGGGAGATCAGAACATTAACAGACTCCATCACTCAGAGTGCAGTGAAAACTAAACCAAACTTCCTCTTCCTGTAGCAGCTGATCCAAACTGTTTTCAATCCACCTCACCCTCCATGCTGTTATTCTTAACCAGAGGACTGGACTCCGTATTGTTGAGCAGCTCCACCAGTAAGGATATGAGGTTTCCGTCTTGAGTCGTGTTGGCGTTGCTGGCATCGTTGAGGTTTCGGTACAGCATGGTCTGAATGGACGTGCGTAGCTCCCACAGGAGCTCCCAGGTCTCAGCGGACAGCTCACAGCGAACCAGAGAGCGTCCAGGGAAGGACACTTCCACCATGTCGCCGTTTACTGAGACAGAAGATGGAAAGGGTGAATGTTTAGGTACAAAAAGACAAGACGAGGACATTTCTGAGGCTTGTGAGAAGAACCTCCCGTGTACAAGGCTCTGACATATAATCAGGTTTTTTTTAAACTCTTTTAAAGAACAATGTAGAAAAAAGTGTTTTCTTTTCCATTTTAATAAGAGGAAATCCTTTTTGTACCAGTCCCATTATCTCTGGGATCAAAATTCCTAAAAACAGCAATTCCAAACAAAAAATGGATAGATTCCTTAATGACCAGTTTATGGAATCAAAGATTTAATCACATTCGGCTGCTTTAATCTTAAAAAAATCTGATATATGTAGTCCTAATAAGGCTCAGAGGAAGAAAGCAACGCCAAAGGGTGTTTTCACTACATTTATGCCCTGCCTGTTTGTTGCTTCATAAATAACTCGAGTGTAACACCTGACACGCTGAAATACGAGATCGTATTTAATGACGCATAAAGTTTGAATACAAATATATGAAACAAGAAACCCAAAAGCATCAAGTCTGCTGGAGAGTTGGCGTTTGCAGTCTTCACTCTGAGCTCCTGCAGTGACACTCAAGTCCTGAGGCGTTTAGTTTTCTGCTACTGTTAAACATTTTAGTAGAAACAGTACAAACTGCTAAATAAGGGTAAAGGACACAATCCCACTAGCTCAAAACGGGTTTCATTTCAGCATGCAGCAGTAAAAAGAAGTTCTGCACGCTCCCTCAATGCCTCCAAACACCACAGGTGGTCACCTGGACCGCTACAAATACCTGTCTCTGTGATATCACAGTCTGTGAGCAGCAGCAGGGCGAGAGGATGGACCGAAGAAGAATCTCGGATGAACACATTCCCATTAGACTTGACGGCGCTAAAAAAGGTCAACCAACGACTGGGGAGGTTCTCTTTTCCTCTGCAACAGAAGGGACATCAAAGGTTTTTAACATAAAGATTTCTGAGTTAAGTGGAATGGGATTAAAGGAACAAAATATTAACCTAGTATGTGCTTGTATGTGTATATATGTATGTATATAGATCTGTAACTTAGTGCTTCTTTCTGTGTAAATTGTTTTCTTTTTCTATTTTTTTCTCAAATTCATGGGTTGAGATTTTGTCGGCCAACAGGTCCAGGAACTATATTGTTCAATTTCCTTAAGAATCATATGATTATTTCATTTGTATTAATGCTATTTTAGTTAAAAGGGGCAGACAACATAAGTTTTTCTTCTTTCTGTCCCCTTTTTCATTTTGGCTTGCAGCAATTTAGTTCTGATTGTGTTTTTATTTTAATGTCAATAAATGAAAATAAAAGATAAAAAAAAAAAAAAAAGAATGCTGTAGAGCGTACTCAACCTGTTAACCGAAGAGCGATGGAGCAGGACCGGTCCGCTGATTGTGCGGAAAGATGTGCTGTTGGGACGAAAGCGCCCTCCCTTAGTCACGACACCCTTCTTCACCTACAACAAACAAAAAAGTGTATTTATTTAACACGTTTTAAAAAAGGGTTTCACGAGAAACTCCTGAAATAAACAAAGAGAGAAAACAGAATGAATGAAATCAGCAAAACGAAGGCCGTCGTGTACCTGAATTAGGTTGGGGTACAGTCCTGCAAGCAGCACAGCTTTGAGCAGCTCATCCTGGTGACTGTGCTCATTGTAGAGGGACGTGTGACGCTGGCACTCGCTGACACGAGAAACCAGACCTGCTTCCTGCAGGTTCTCACTGAACTGAGAAATCAGACCTGGGAAAGGGGGAAAACAAAAGGAGTACATAACTAAACGGCTGGTTCAGACGACGTTTAACCTGAGTAAAACCATTCGAACCATTGATGAACCGAAGACTGGCTTTGGACAGAGTGTATTTGTCCAGATATTCATGCCTGTCCTCTCTGTCTCCCTCCTGCTGGGCTCTCCTCCAACCCAGAACCGCCCTGCTGAACACCAGATAGTCACTACAGCTGGAGCCACTCAGGTCCTCCTTGGCCTGGACAAACCAAACACAAATGACTAAAAAGGAAATGTATTTATGTTTGTTTTGTAAACAAAGGAAAGAAATCCCAGAACCAGATTGAAACTTCCCAGAGAATACTGGATTTGTTATTTGTGTCATTAATGGGGAAACACACAAAAAGACCTACATTCCAAAACGGTAACAAGTCACCTCACCTTGTTGACAAGTGCCCGATTCTGCAGGCTGTTGAAAAACGGGTCTCTGGTGAGACAGGCAGCAACAGACAACATGGGCAGAACACATCTGAACACGGCACTCAGAACCAGAACTTTGCCCAGCCGCGGGTCACACGACATACAAGCGACCCGCTGGCCTAAAGGAGTCAGCGTCTCAGTCTTGTCCAGAACTCCTGTTAAAGCGGGACATGGTAGAGAATTTAAATCTATAAACCAGTTTCACTGATGGTTTCACTTCACTCACCAATATCTTGGAGATTCTGGACAGCGTCTCTCACTGCTTCTGGTTCTGGACTATCCAAAACTCGGGACAAGAAATCTCCAGCCTGCAGGCACAAACAACAAGTTATTATTCTATTTAAAAAAATAAATAAAAAAATAAAAATAAATAAATAAATCAGTAGGTCTCTTTAAAGTACCTTGCAGTTTGGACAGTGGATTTTCACCTGCAGCACCAAACTCTCCAGAGGGGTACGCAGGATCTCAGGAACAGGAAATGGAGTCATGGTCTCCAGCTGTTGCCTGGGAAACAGGTGGTAGGACCGTCCTGGCTGACAGCGTCCTGCTCGCCCCTTTCTTTGTGTGACGTTAGAGCGAGATATCCACACCGTATCTAGGCAGGACACCTGGAAAACCAAAGGAATGCAGACATTTTACTGGAGAAATAAACTAAAGCTAGCTTTGTTTGCTCGTGAATTCAGGCGGAAAATAAAAAACAACCTTCGTGCGTGGGTCATAATTCTGTTCTTTATGAGTTCCAGCATCCACCACATGAACAATGTCGTCGATGGTGATGGAGGTCTCAGCAATGTTAGTGGCAAGAACTATTTTCCTCTGGCCCACTTGGGGGCGCTGGAACACCACCTGCTGGTCAGCCACTGATAAGCTGGAGTGCACTAGAAATCAAATTTAAGCAGTTAGAACTCTGAAATTGGGGAAAGCAAATCCAGACGTGCTTGACGTTCTTACACGGCAGGACCATGTGGGAATCAGAGGGAGTTAGTCGTTTTGCTTCAAGTTTGTCTTGAACGGCTCTGATGTCTTGCCACCCAGGGAGGAAACACAGAATTGCTCCTGATGATCCGAAAAGAACGATTTAAAAACATATTTTAAAGAAAAAAGGCATTTTTTAAATGTTATTGAGCGTTAGGTACCTGGTTCTCCATGTTTGTCGATGTGCTCAATGACATCTGCTACCAGGTCTGGATCAGGTGCTGCCTCATCTGCTCCCTTCTTAGAAATCGGATAAAAACAAAACAGTCATTCCACTAAATTATATAATTCTAAATGAATAGAAAAGCTAAAACCTGATAATCCATCACCTTGTCTCTTGAAAGTGGGCGTCTCATCTCCCTCAGCACGTCCTCCAGGTAGTGATCTTTTACCGGGTGCATGAAGCCTGGTACCTTCACAATGGGACAACCCCCAAAATACTCAGCCAGCCTCTGGTTGTCTCCAGTAGCGCTCATTAGCACAACTCGTAGGTCTGGGTTTTCATCCAGGCTGGAGCGCAGCAAGGCCAGCAGCAGGTCCGTGTTCACGTCCCTCTCGTGGACCTCGTCCACCACGACGTGGCTGATTCCTTTCAGGGTGGGGTTTGACTGGAGCTTCCTCAGCAGGACGCCCACGGTGAGGAAGAGCATGGATCCTCCGCTGTGCTCAGGGGGTCTACTCTCAAGTCTCACCTAAGAACAGAAAAGTATCACTGTCTGCACCAGAACCCAACAATATACATTTAGTTTAACTTCACTAAATGTTTCAAACCTTTTCAAAAAGCTAAAAAAAAAGATGGTTTAAATAAAAACACAAAACAAAAAGAAGCATAAGAATACTCAAATAAAAATGGTTCAGCTAAATGACAGCACAAAGAGCCTGTGCCTACCTGATATCCCACGCGGTGTTTAAGATGCGGCCCCATCTCATAAGCGACGCGTTGAGCCACCGACACCGCGCTGATCCGACGAGGCTGAGTCACCAGGACGTTGCACCAAGCGCCCTCACCTCCTCTCACCTGCTCCTCCAGCAGGAAGCGTGGGATGCGTGTTGTTTTGCCACATCCCGTCTCCCCAGCAATGACAACCACCCTGGAGGATCGCACAGCTGACACAACACGCTGGCGATGAGCATCCGCCGGCAATTCCACGCAGAGCCCGGGCTTTGCAGTCTCCCATTCCTGTTGCAGCTGGTGGCTGAGCTGTTGAGCTCGTTGTTCAGACAGCGCGCAGTATGGCCTGCCGGTAATAGCGTCTGTTATATAGTCTTCCTCCTCCTCCTCCTCTTCACACTGCTGATTCACCTGCTGCCCCGTTGCCTCTTCTTCTTCCCAAAGTTTCTGAACTTCTGTCGCCACTGGGTACTATCAAATAGATGCCATTTTGTTGTGTTAAAAGCCTTAAAGGGGCATTATGGAAGTTTGACAGCCAAAACATGTATAGAAATAATAAATTTCTTCTTCACACATTCTCCTGCAATGCCCTGGTCCTGTAGAATGAGCCCTGGCATTTTTACTGTGATTGCCTGTTTTTCTGTAAAATCACAGAAAAAGAGATGCTCGGGTCGAGCAGGCTGCTTCATGCGCGTTCACGCTCAGGCATAGCCCGTAGCATTTGCTATCTGTAGCTTTAGCAGCAGAGAGAGGCAGTGCCACTTTGTCGCTGTTCCTAACGCCTAGTGACAAAGCTAGCTACATTTCTGAGGACCCTTAGCTACTTTCTGTAGAACTTTCCTCTAGATATTTCCTGCAAATTAGCAACAAAATAGCCATTTTTGCTCCGAACCGTTCTTTGAACGTGGTTTCAGCTTTCATCAAGGATATAAATGTTACAGATACAAAGGACATCACTGGCACTTTAGCTCACTTAAGGTTGGTTTATGCTTGACGCGTCCGCGAGGTCCGCACGGCTCCGCGCGGAAAAGTTGCGTCATTTTAACAACCACGCCCCTCCACCGCATCTCCGCACGGCCCAAGATTTCTGCAACGCGCACCTCGGAAAATTTCTAACCACGCGGACGGACGGACGCGGAAAAACATGGCGGACCGGCAAGAACTAGTATGGCAGAGGTTCGTAAATACAGACATTTGTATGATTCAGCTCTCAGAGATCACCGTGATCAACATGTAGTTAATAATTCTTGGAGAGAAATAGCTCGCACTGTCGGAAAAGACGAGGACACTGTTAAAAATGCTGAAATGTCATGTTGTAAACAGTAATTTCTACTTCTATTATGGTGTAGTGTTGGATGCATGCCGTAGAGCTCCATGATGCCCCGTTCAGTTTGGGAGAATATTGGCTCACCACAGAGACGAGCCGAACAAACCATAAACGCTGCGAGTTGTGAAGCGCGCTCCAGCCGCGAGCCGCATCACCGCGCGGAAAGTAAATGCGTCAAGCATAAACCAAGCTTTAGTAAGATATCGGACTCTCGTGCAGAAGATCCGGGTTCGATTCTTGATGTGAGCATAGTTTATTTAGAGTTTCTTTTTTACATTAATGGTATATTTTTTTACAGTAAGATGCCCAAATTTTTATTGGAGACTCGCCGAATGGCACTGAATTCACAGATAAAAAAGATGTGGGTTCAACTTTCATTTTGGAACAATTTTTTAAGCAAGGGAAGGGAATGATCTGAGCATGCAGGAGGACTGACCCATCATAAACCTTTGTCGGCTGAAGAGAAAGGTACAGAACCAAATTATTTAATTAGCTGCGCATTCTCCTGTCCTCTGTCCTACGGGCCACACACACACACACACACACACACACACACACACACACACACACACACACACACACACACACACACACACACACACACACACACACACACACACACACACACACACACACGGGACTGTCTCAGCTGTTATTTTCGTTAAGGAGTGTGCACGTACAGCATGCGCACCTCGTGCACGAGCCTACTATTGAAGCTGCCGTTACGCTTTCGGCCTTAGGGGGCAATTGCGAGCATAAAAATTCAAAACTCTGTAAAGTCCCTTTAATATAAACTTCTCTCAAAATTGACCTGAAGATGATAAAATAACGGGAACTGACCTGAGTAAGATACTCCTTCATTCTTTGCTCCAGATATTCTGGGATTACCAGAGGAAGTGGCCGCCTCTCTCTTTCTCCAGCCTCCTTCACTTTCTCTCGATGGTACTTTGCATGAGTAAGCGGGTTGTTGTCTTTGTCTAGAAGCTGGAGCTCCTGCACCAGGCACCAAATAGGCACATTGAGCATAGGTCAGATATCTACATAATGGCTTTGGTGTAAAATCCGAACTCTCTTTACCCTCAGTTTCATGCAGGCGAGTGCGGCAGCTTTCTTCTCTGCCGCTGCTCGGCTGGTTGCTGTAGCGGCGAATGTCATCTCCTCAGGCCAGAGCAGAGTCAGCTCGCACTTTTTTAGCTTCCCTCCAACAGTTTTGAAATGCAAAAACTCCTGCAACGGCAGAACACTTACAGAACACAGGAAGGTAAAAATGACAAGTTTTACTGTAGGAAATAAAAGGATGCACAAACCCTAACTCTGCTGGAGGAAGTGGCCAGCTGGATCACCCTCGTCAGAAGAGATTTGGGTTGTGGAAACAGAGAAAGAGCTTCAGCTACACCGGAGACATCTATAGGAGACGAACAGTGACTTGCTCTGGATACATCATCTATCCAGCCATTTTCCTCATCATAAAGATGGGAATGTAGCCCTCCCCTTCCTCGGCCAGCTCTTCTCTTGGGGAGCTGATTGTTTGGGCCAATCAAACCCATTTCCTTTACCAAAAACAGACAGTTAAAACACTATAAACAGCAAGAGTTGCAAATAGGTGATCTTTAAACGTCTTCCAGTAAATTACCTTGAGTCTGAAGCAAGCTGCAGCAGCAGCAAATCGCTCTGCATCAGCCTTTTTAGATGCATAACCGTTTTCTTCAAATTGGCAAGGCCACTGCAGCGTGAGAGTGGCTTTCTGCGGACACACAAGTACAACATAACCTCGAATCAAACACAAGATCAGGAGCTGTACGGGGGTGCACACAGTCAACAGAAAAGCCTCGTCCTGACCTTGACTCCCGCGTGTTCTGTGCAGCTGTACTGGATGAACTGGGACAGGTCATTCACTCCCAGTGACCTGGAAATGGTGCCGTTTAACAGATTTTTGGGATCTGGGAACTCCTTCAGCAGGTTTCCATCTAATTATTAAAAAGTGCGACACAAACATGCGTATTTAAATATCACTCTAAATAACATAGGATATAATAAAATACAATGAGATACGTTCTTAAGACATAAACTAGAGTTATAACATTATATCAGCGAGTTTGAGGAATGTCCTTGAGGTGCAATGATGCTGCGAACTGTTAGCTAACGTTAGCTAGCCGGCGTTTTACTCACCTTGTTTATTCTGGAAAAGTGGCGCATTGTGCTCGTGGATGTTCTGAGCTTTTGTCCTGTACCACCGCATGTCCCTGGTCCGGTTTGACGTTGTTTTTCCTCCCGTATGACCACATTTGGATAAATTACACAGTGCTCTCAGACGCACGAGTAAAACACCGGGTAGCGCCATCTTTGAACTACAAATTCTTCTTCTGTCGTTTTGAGGCTCCAGGAGGAACATCTGCTTTACAGCGCTCTCTTGTGGCCAAGAACACAAAACTTCTTACAAGAAATCACTCATTTTGGTTTTAAATCTAAAAATCCTGACAATTAAAACAAAATGCACCTTAGAAAAATTGCTAAACATCACTTACTGTGTTTCTTAACAATCCGTGACCCATGAATTTGTCAGAAATTGACCAAAATTTTAAAAATGTATTAAAGTGCAAGCATCTGAGGTTTTAATGTGACCCTGGGTTCATTTATATCAAACTGTGTTCTTTTTCTGCATGCTTTTGGTCATATGATAACTTAGCATTTGTTTGTCCTCTGATGCTGCTTTTGTATTGTATGGAACTCATCTTTGTTGTAACAAACAAAAAATACAATTTGCTCTGAAACACAGGTAAATGAGAAAGCCACCTGTAATTAAAGTACTGTAATTTCCATCCATCTATTTTCATCAGGTTATCCGAGGGGGGCAGGGGCAGCAGTCTAAGCAGAGAGGCCCAGACTTCCCTCTCCCCAGCCACTTGGGCCAGCTCCTCCAGGGGAATCCCAAGGCGTTCCCTGGCCAGCCGAGACAGAGTCCCTCCGGCGTGTCCTGGGTCTTCCCTCGACTCTCCTCTCGGGTGCACGGAAAACCACATCAGGGAGGCACCCAGGATGCATCCTGACCAGATCCCCGAGCCACCTCAACTGGCTCCTCTCAATGGAGAGGAGCAGCGGGTCTACTCTGAGACCAAGTGACCGAGCTTCTCACCCTTTCTCTAAGGGAGAGTCCAGCCACCCTGCGAAGAAAACGCTAAAGTAATTTTTAAAAGCATATTGATTTTAAATATTAGTATTTTAAAACTACACCCAATTTTTTATCCATATTTACATTAAATAATACTTCTGTTCACTTTTGAAAATAGGCCAAATCCATAATATTCTATGTGAAATCTTGTAATCTTAAAATTAACCTGCAACTCTGATAAAAAACATTGAACAGCAGGTTTATGTACCATTTTACATTAACAGAACAGGTAAAAGCTGCTCCTAATGCATGCATCTTTCCAGTGCACAACATTCCTGCCACCTGGCGAATGGAAGGAAAACTCCCAGACCGCATCTGGTTTTGTCTGGAATGATTCACATAAAAAGTCCTGCTGGAGCCGTCAGTTGTTTTTGAACAAGCAAGAGATGAAACCGGTTCTTGTTTTCCTGTTGGTTGTCACAACTGGTAAGTTCACACTAAACATTTTACAATTTGATGATTTTGACATGGACGAAATGTGTTTGGTTATCTCCCGTGTTAAAGCATCTGGGTGTGGCGTTCCCAGTCACAGCCGGGTGGTGAATGGAGAAGAAGCCCAACCTTACAGCTGGCCATGGCAGGTAGGTCAGCCAAGAACTAACATTATAGAAGTATCATTCATTAGATCAGTGGTTCCCAACCTTTATTCAGTGTCCAAAACAAGCCAGGGCTCCCCAACCCCAGCTCCTACCGCATGCACACAATTAATAATTACAAACTTTATGCAGACACAAGGAGCTGTGGCTTTTACACAGAGTTCTGATTTTACTATTGGGTGTGTTATCTGGATTTTATAAATTAGCGACCTCACAACCTCAGCACAGAAAAAATTATGGGGACCCCAGATTGGGAACCAGAACCACTGCTTGTTGGAGTTTTGGATTCTACTAATTATCATGATAACCTGAAAGGAGGCTTCTCAACAAAATGTGCATCACATTTTCTTTATCTAAGCAGAATTTGTTTCATTTTAGGTTTCTTTGGAGTCCTTCTACCCAACCTGTGGAGGAACACTTGTTGCTCCTGACTGGGTCTTGACTGCAGCACATTGCATCACGTAAGAAAATGTTTCTTTGCACGTTAGATAAAAAAAAAGTTAAATTGCACATGAAATATTGGAATCGCTGTAAGAATTGTCACAGAATGTGTCATTACATTTCTTACATGTTGTAAAGTGTAATTTAGGACATGCTGAATAAAAAAAATGTGATTCCTACATCTTAAATTTAGATAAATACAACCTCAGAAAGACAAAAAAAAAAAAAGTCAGCTGAGGCAATCAATTTGAGGAGTTTTTCCTAAAAAGGAGTTAAAATGTTTGAAGTAAAAATGTAACACATCTGAATGAATATTCTCTTTTATAACAATAAATAACAGCTGATTGCGTTTCCAATTTAGATTCCACACATATAGGGTGGTTCTTGCTGAACATGACATGAACAAGGAAGAAGGACCTGAACAATCCATCATGGTCTCCAAAATGTTCCTCCACCCCAAATGGAACGACAACTGTGTTTCTTGTGGGTACGTTCATGTCCGCCCAGTAGAATAAAGTATGTTTAAAAACCCAGTTTGATCTATGGTGCTTTCCTGGTCCGAAGGAACGACATTGCCCTGCTTAAACTGCAGAAGAGCGCTGATGTTAATGACAAAGTTCAGCCAGCTTGTCTTCCCCAGCATGGAGCTTCCCTCAGCCCCAACCAGCCCTGTTACATCACAGGCTGGGGTCGCCTCTACTGTAAGAGCTGCTGCAAACACTCACGTATAAGAGGCATTGTTGGGTCGTTTATAATATGCAATTATTTTGAGGTGCGTTGCGTTATTCTGTAATTAGAGCGATCGTTTTCTCTGCAGCCGGTGGCCCTCGGGCAGCGACGCTACAGCAGGCGCTGCTACCTGTGGTGGATCACAGCGTCTGCAGTCAAAGTGAGTGGTGGGGAAGCTCGGTTAAAACAACAATGGTCTGTGCAGGAGGAGAGAGCAAATCAGCGTGCCATGTGAGAAACACATCCCATAATATTCTCTTAAGGAGCACAGACTCATCAGTGATTGAGCTTCTCTCTCTGAAACTTGCAGGGTGACTCTGGAGGCCCTCTGAGTTGTGTGGGTCGAGACGACAAATGGTATGTCGAGGGAGTGACTAGCTTTGTGGACGGACGTGGGTGCAATACCCCTAAAAAACCAACAGTCTTCACCCGGGTGGCCTCTTTCATCCCCTGGATCAGTGAGGTAAGGGAATCATCTAGCCTAGTGAACTAGACCAAATTCTTGCTTTGCAAAGTTTGGTCTAGGAACGCTCCACTGGAACCTCCACAGCCCCTAGCAGCATTCTGGCTGGCCAATCACAGCTCTCTAGAGGGGTTTCAAACACATATAGAGTTGTGATTGGTCCATAATATTGGATCATTCATAGCGCTCTATCTGCTTTGTAAACCAATCACAGTGCTTTATCCGCTTTGTGGGCCAATCAGGGCCCTCTACTCGTCTGGTGGGCGGGATGATGCAACATAATGGAACAAGATGGCGACAGCTTGTTTGAAACGGCTTATAAATCAATGTTGGACTATTTGGACTTGGACTTTATTAGAATCAGGAGCAGAAAGATGTATTTAAGTTATTTTTTTGAAAAAAATGATGTATTTTCACCTTATTCAATGGTGGACCGCCTCGTTTAATGGCATCCGTTGCGGTGAGTACGTCACATTGTTCATTGTCCAGTAGCATGTGGAGATCGTTTGAAAGACAACGGTAGAACCCGCCCGACCGAGAGTCGTCAATAGAGTGTTGCCAGACTAAATAATATATTTATTTAGTCTGGCTTGCCAAGCTAGGAATCATTCTGAAACCCAAAATCAACCACCAGAATACAGGAGGTGGAGGGGTACTAGTGGCCAGGGTTGCTTCTAGGCATTTGGGGGCCCAAGGCTCCCACTCCATGCATGAAGCTGTTTTGGAGCTGGGGAGCTCCCTCAGTGGCTGCATCCTAGGTGCATGATGAATGTTATCATAGGTCCTTCCTCCCAGTGGCTGTCTCTACAATTACCACTGATCCCAACAAAACCAGTAAACCGTTCTTGCATTCCTGCTGCTTTTTTGATTTTCAGTTTCGGTTGTTATTCTACTAACACTTATTCATCTCATTTGCAGTTTTCGTTGCTCATTTGCACACTTTTCAGAACACCAACATTTCCACACTGGGAGACAGTTAATTCATTTTCTACTCAATTCTCTAATAGTGATAAGTGTGTGACACCTGGGACATCATGGTGCTTTCACATCGGCACGGACCGGCCCTGGTAGGGTATATTGTGTTCACACCTGGGTAACCAGTGTGCTCAGCTGACCATTTTTTTGGACCTGTTCTCTGGTTATCCGGTTCTCTGGTTATCCGATTCATGCGAAGCCAACCAAACACACCCACTACCAACTAATTGGCTGGCTGAAGTTCACGCCTACTTATAGAGGAAGCCTTTGATTGGCAAGTAGAAGCCAGTGGTGGCTTCCCGCTTGCGTGATTCATTATCAGTCTACATGCAGTGGGATAAACATCTTCTCTCCCTGCTGCTCGGACCTTCTGCTCCAGCCATGGCAGGGCAAGGGCAGACCGCTGTGAGAGAGAGCAGGAAGTGTCGAGGGCGGCGACCCATTACCCTGTGTATACACGACTTTCATAATTTTATATCAGCCCATTACTGTGGAAAACATTTCATTGTTTGCTCCAAAGCAACCCAAAAAGACCTCATAAATTTCAGAACACTGCTATCTGGACTATTTCTGGGAAGCAAGTCACAATGCAAGTCACAATGCTGTTTTCTTAATAAATCAGATGTTTTGTGTCCATCTATCTGGTCAAACCGACCAGAAGTCCAGAGCTTTAATAACAGCATTACTTCTCCAGCTTGATTGCGAAGAAAATGTTCCTAAAAGTAATTTTGATATTTAAGGAATGCAGGTTTCACAGTTCCCAATGCCTAAAATTATAGGGTGCCATTTGTAAAGTGAAAGTGTCTTAACTTAACAGCAGTGTTTTGGGTTATTTAGCCTATTGACCCTTTGCACGTGACGTCACGCCACTCATGTGTCCGCCTCCTTCGCCATGATGGACGGCAAGAAGACCGTTTACAGCCGTTGGAACTCCAGTGAAGCTAGTCAAAACAAGCCCGTTTGTAGCCTTTTATCGCTTTTATGTAGGTGATTTGACAGTAAAATGGTTTTAGCTTGCTGCGTGGATGGCTGCACTAACAGACAAGGATGTAAACTCAACTCGTTTAGTTTTTTTTAATAACTTTGATGGAGACTGAGGACGGAGATGAACTGCAGCGATCAATCAAGCAGACTAGCAGCCCTCAGATTTGCAGCGAACATGTGTTTCTGGGTAAGATTAACGTTCATTTATTTCACGAGGAAGACAGGGACAGGGATAAATGTGATGTGTTTATACAAGTTATTGATAATCCTGATGGATGGATGGGTATTTCACCACGGAGGCTGCACTCCGTCCGCTGTAGTGTAAAGCGAGATAATTATTAACAATATTAAAGCTCTGATGTATGACTATGTGTGTCAAAATTACGTTATTTATTTATATGAGCATCGCTGTTCAGAGATCTTCTCATTCCGGTGTGAGAGCAGCAGCTGAACCCGGTAACACCACCAGCAACAGAAGCTGGTAGGGTTCCAGACTTTTTAAAAATCTGCTTTGGTGTAAAGTGAAACGCTGTTTATAACATAAAGTTATAAATCCAGAGGAGTGAATTTGGGCAAAGTCGGCAACATGTTTACATACAGTAGGTGAACAGCCGCAGAGAGAACTAAGCTAACGTTGGTCTATGAGCCCCCGCTAGATGCGCTACCTCTTCTGATAACTGAACTGGGCATGAACTAGTTGAAGGAATGCTGGAGGAGTTTTGCTTTTGTTTAGATTGCAAAAACAATTTCAGGCTCTACTTTTCCCTTTGTTTAGTACTCGTGTCGCTCACTGTTTACATGTGTGGTAGGATGAACTGTTTGGTTCATGGAGATTTGTCCAGGTGGATGACATTCTGGTGATTGTGGGGTGGGGCACGCTGCCTTCATAAGAGGCAGACACCTGCTGCTCACACACAGCTCTCTGATTCCAATCCTCAGCACCGAGAGCGTTTGAGGTGGCGATATGCCGGGTGCGACTGTAAGTAAAATCCAGTTTACTGCCTCATTAGTATTTCCTCTCTGTGACAGCCTTCATGGTTTATCCGTAGTGAGTGCTGGTTGGAAGCTGACGCTTATGCAGCTCCAAACTTACCAGTCAGAGCAGGTGCGTAACCAGCGTGGCCTCTTCCTGTTTGGAGGTTGTTCTCATCGGGCAGCTGATCTCCTCCCCAGCTCGGCAGAGGTAAGCCAGTAGTTTTGGGTAATGGGGTGAGCTGATCCGGGGGCTTTTTACCATCTGTCTGTCTTGCAGCGCGGTCAACCTGCGGTGCCGGTGTTACACCAAATTCTGCGACCCATCCCATTTGTGACCCCAGGAGGCAGTGTTGCGTTTTGTTGCGTCTGTACATCCTGAATTGGCATAAAAGAAGATGCTACGTTGAAACCGTAAACTACGTAAGCTTTGAGGAAGCTCACGGGAAGGGGGACCCACTCTTTATCTTCAGGCTGTGCCCGGCCGGGCTCCATGGGTGAAAGCCCGGCCACCAGGTGCTCGCCAACGTGCCCCACCTCCAGACCTGGCTCCAGAGGGGGGCCCCGGTGACCCACGTCTGGGCGAGGGAACATGGTTTCCATTTATATAATTCATCATAAGAGGTCTTCGGGCTATTAAATAATAAATATAAAATTTTGGAGCTAAATATTTAGTTTGTAAACTACTACTACTAAACTTTATTTATATAGCACCTTCACATGGCCCAAGGACCGGTCGGTAACAGCTGCTCCCCTGCTGCTTCACGTCTCGTGGGAAGGGCCAAGCAGCAGTTTACGCGAGCAAGACGTGCTGCTGCAGTAACGTGCTGCTGACGGCTTCTGTGGAAACCCGGGGTGAAACTTGCCAAGCGTGGTGGCCTGTTTCACACATGTAGGTAGCTTATTCCAGAGCCTCGGTCCCAGCACCGAGAAAGCACGACCCCTCGAGATTGTAGTCTGTATTTAGGAGTGACCAACAGTCCTTGTTGTGCTGCTGACCAAAGGTTCCTTGCGGGAACATAAGGATGGATCAGATCCGACAGATAACGTGGAGCCAACTCATTTAAAAACAAACACCAGAACTTCAAACAAAATTCTAAAAGAGACTGGAAGCCAGTGTAGGGATGCCAAGACAGGCGTGATGTGTTCAGATCTTCTGGTACCAGTCTGTAACCTGGCTGCCACATTTTGGACCTTTTATAGTTTCGCTATGGAGGCCTGCTTGATGCCTGCATAAAGCGAGTTACAGTAGTCCAGTCTGGTGGTAATGAAGGCGTGGATGACTGTTTCCAGATGTTTACGCGATAGCAGCGGCTTAATCCTAGTTATTCTCCTGAGATGGAAATAGGATCTGATTGTTCCATTGACCTGGCTGTCCAGAGTGAGCTCAACATCCAACTTCACCCCCAGGTTGGTGACCACAGCCTTCTCAAAAAGTACTAATGAAGTAGAGTCACATCCATGTTTGTATTTCAGGCAGAACGGGAAAGTCTCAGTTTTATTCTGGTTGAAGAAAAATACATTTTGAGCCATCCATAACTTTACCTCCTCCAAGAAGTCCAAGAGTGGTTTAAAAGAACTTTGCATGATACAGGTAAATAGATTTGACAGTCATCCGCATACAGGTGAAACCTGACGTGCCAACGAAACAAGTCACCCAGCGGCAGCAGATAGAGGAAAAAGAGGAAAGGTGCCAGGACTGATCCCTGAGGCACCTCACATTGCAAATCAGCAGTATCAGACGAACAGTCCCAAAGTCTTACACAAAAATTCCTCCCTGACAGGTACGATTTTATCCACTGGAGTGCTAAGCCTGATATTTCCACCCATTGCTCCAGTCGACCAATCAGGATATTGTGGTCTATGGTGTCAAATTCCGCAGTCAAGTCCAAGAGCACCAAAACCACAGCCTCCCCAGAATCGTTTGCCATCATGATATAATTCAAAACCAACAGGGCTGATTCTGTACTATGGAGAGACTTAAACCCAGACTGAAATCTCTAGTATCTCATTTTCACGTAGAAAGGATATCATTTGGGCATACAAGTTTTCTAAGACCTTAGCTAAGAAAGGCAGTGTGGAAACGGGCCTATAGTTAGATATATTCGAATCTAGGCCAGCTTTCTTCAGCAGAGGGCGCACTACTGCATGTTTAAAAGAGCTGGGAACTTCACCCAATAGTAGACTGCTATTTATAATTTGTAGAACATAAGGAGACACAGCTAGAAAAACTTCTTTTAGAAGTTTAGCAGGGATTGCGTCCAATACAGAACCAGATGGACTATTGACCACCTTCTCCAACTCTATGAGAGATGTTGGATAAAAGCTCTCCAAACAAATATTTAGCTCCGAATTAAATATGTAGTTAGTAAATTATATATTTATTTTACAAACTAAATATGTATATCAGACCAAAAAAATTAGTTTTTAAAACATATTTAATTTGGAGCTAAATTAAATATATAGCTTGCTAATTAAATCTTTAGTTGGGATCTTTAATATTTATAAAAGTAAACACTGCTGTCATGACTCTTTGATTTTACAAATGGCACCCCATACTAATCTAAATTTCCCTAATTCTGTTAGGATATTACAGTTTGTCAATTACCTGCTACCTGGTTGCTGCAGTTTAGAGCAAGCTGGTTTGATAAATTTAACAAGACATGTAGGCCAAAAATGTATCCAATGTAAATAACCACTTACCACGGTCTTGTTTTTTCTTTTCTTCCTCCTCACGCTTTTTTCTTTTCTGGCTTCCGGATAGGTAACTCCGCTTCATTTTGGTGTCAAATGTTGCCGCTGTTGCAGGGCAAGCGTGCCCAAGCAGCCTACCCCCAGCTGCAGATCACGGACTGATACGGGGCGGGCTCGGATTTCCGATGGGCGTGGCCAGTTGTTGAGACAGGTCTCAGGCAAATTATGGAAAGAAATAATCCACACAATAGTAGTAAGTAAAATTACCTTACAAAAGCTACTATTTTAATTGTAAAATTATGAAATTGTATAGAAATATAATAGAATAGAAATAGGAAAGGTTTTCCTGTTTCAATTTTCTTTATGGGCCTATTACTACGGCAAGAGAGGCTGACGAAAACCTAAAAGACTACAAAAGTACCCGAAGCTTTATGCTCTCAGTGCATTTCTTTTGTTTAATTTATTTACAAAGCATCCTATTTAAAACGTTTAATGTTGTATAATTTCTATAAATTTAGACACACTAAATTCCACATTGATTATTTGTAGACTCCAAATAAAATGTCAAAGCCTTTCTTCTACATTTGTTATGTTTTCCAGAAACTTGATTTTACAATTGGCCACGCCCATTGCACATCCAAGCCCGCCCAATACAGCCAGGGGTACTAGTAAATTGCGGAGTTAGACTCTGCCTACTGACTGGCCACGCCCATTTTGACGTTTGACTCCACCCAATATCAGTCCCTGCAGTCTGCAGCCAGAACCTTTTGGGATAGAGGGGAAGGGGCATGCGAATGTCTCATTACACTTTGGTCATCTTGAGCTTTGCCAGGGCTGGGTAGGAACAGACTGTGACCCCACCAGGGCCAGACCGATCTGACTTTAGTGTAAATGTGGTTTAACGTAACCCTGATGTGTTTTCTTACAGACGATGGCCCAAAACTAAGAAAACAACCACAACTGAAGACATGAATAAACTGTTATTACATTTTCATGTTCATGTTAAGTGAATTTATTAAATATACAGATTTTGAGATGCATTTGCAGAATGAATGGGAACGAACATCTGAAACTGTTTTTAAAGAACAGGAATGGCTAATCTCTGCAGTGACAGCTTAAAAGAAAGCTTTGTTACTTACTCATACCTTCATTTGTGATTTTAAATCAAAAGGCTGATTTTTCACAGCATCTTTGGGTTTTAAATTTACAACCGGGAGAGTGAATTGTTATTGGAGATGCTCATGGGTTTGACGGTGACCAGGTGAAGAAGTCGGTTCCTCTCAGCTCCTCAGGTAAATACTCCTGCTCCACGGGTCTGCTGAACTCAGGGTTGTATTTGTAGCCTTTAGCGTAGCCGAGCTGCTTCATCAGCTTAGTGGGGGCATTACGGAGGTGCAGAGGGACAGGCGGCAGGGGGCCTTTGTGGTTTCTCACACAGGCTTTTACGTTGGCGTAGGCCTTGTAGATCTCCACAGACTTGGGTGCTCGTGCTAGGTAGACAACACACTGAGCTAGGATCACCTGGCACAGAGAAAAAAGTGATTTCATAGAACAAAAAGCAAAAAACAACAGAAAAGTTAAGACCGTTTCTTATATGTAAGGTGTACCTACCTCACATTCAGGCATTCCAATAAAGTGACAAGCCTGGAAGGTGGATATTGCCTGAGGGAGGGCACAGGGATCTGCCAGACCTGGAGAGAAAAAAAAGAAAAGACCATTTTAAGTAAATCTGAGTCATGCATATAATATTATAATGCACCAAATTATCAAACGTTCCCAAATTTTGGAATAAAGTAAAAAAAAAAAACACATTATTTTTGCACTTTATCATTAAAAAGAATGTAAGAAGCTTCTTCAGCTAATACCTCTGCACCTATAAAAGATCTAACTACAACAGAAAACTCAAAAGTATTAACCATGAAACAACAGTTGGAAAATTAAACTATAGATACAGTAATTTAAGCTTAAAAATAGATTTAAGTTTGATTTAGCAAGAATCCAGCTGTCCACCGTAAGATTAAACCGCTACAGACACTAATATAAAGGATGCAGCGATGACACATACCCACATCCTCACTAGCAAAGCGGACCAATCTGCGGGCCACATAAAGTGGATCCTCACCCCCCTCCAGCATGCGGCCCAACCAGTAGAGGGATGCGTTCTCGTGGGAGCCTCTCATAGACTTGTGCAAAGCTGAGATACAGTTGTAATGCTCCTCACCTTTGAAAAGACACACATAGTAAGGAAGTTGCCTCCTTATCTGAAACTCAGCATCGGTAAAGTAGCAAAGAAGGATGAGCACAAGTTGTTTCATCATTCTCTAATTGTGAAGTGGAAGGATGTTCAGACCAGACCATCTGAGCTTACCAGCTTTGTCATAGAGGATGTGAGACCTCTGAAGACCCTCCTTCACGTGCTCCTCTGTCACCAGAATCTCTCGGGGAGACCGGTTTGGATCTGTGGACTTAATCTGAGCCTGGACCGCCAGCTGGAGGCTGTTGAGTCCTATCCTCGCATCCCCATCACAAAGGAAGGCCACAGTGTCCAAAGCCTTTTGTTCTATGAATATATTTGATCTAAAATAAACAATATTTATGAGATATAAAGCATTTGTTGCAAAATGTCTTGGATGCATTTCGTTTCTGTCTGATTCAACTTCTTTTATTTAATGCCTTAGTAATTTAAAGTGCAGGGACGCCCTTACGCGAGGTCTTCATGTTGGGAATTCAGTGCTCCCCGGACTCTGATCCCGAGAGTTTCCACAGCTCTGTTCAAAATCGAACCCATCGCCTCCACGGACAGCTTCTCCAGAACCAGAACCCTGCATCGGCTCAGCAGGGCGGCGTTCACCTGAAAGGAGGGATTCTCAGTAGTCGCTCCGATCAGAGTTACCGTCCCACACTCCACGTGGGGAAGGAAAGTGTCCTGTAGGTGCATGCACAAAAAAAAAAATTAAAAATAAAACTGTTAACATATAAAAGAACTGATCATAAGATATAAAAATGACTGTCATTTATTAAGTTTTAAGAAACAAGTTTTATCTGCTACTTCGATCTCAGAAACTTCAAATGATTTAATTAAATAAGTTTTTCTTAATATAAAACCAGAAAATGCAAAAATGTGGAATAGAATGCACCTTACTTGAAATTTAACACCAGAACTCATTCAAATGTTGCAAATACAACCAGTTGGTAATAATTTAGATGTACAAGTATTATTAGGCTGATATTTAATTGTTTTTAGCTTTATTTACATGCTAGGGTGGATGCACATCCTTTTTTTAACTTGTTTGTGAACGCTGAATTTAACTCGTCAGTCACTATTTTGTGCACCTGCAGTATTACAATCAAACATTTAACCAAATCTAATGAAGTAAATCAATAAACTGAGCAAGTATTAAATAAAATGGGAAAATAAAAAGAAATATCAGTGGGCAAAAATGTTTGAGCATTTATCAAGCAGATGTTTTTGCTGACAAAAATAAAAAAAATATCTAACTGAAAATGTCAAAAATAAAATATATAAAAACTAAATAAAAACAGAGCTTAGAACACAATAGCAGTTATACAAATACGGGACATTTAACTGTCTAAAACACACCTGGTTTAGCAGCAGTCTCATAGCAGCTAACCCTTCCTTTCTGAGACAGGATATTTAAATCAGCTGATGCATATAAATAAAAATATCTGCCCGATATAATGCAGAGAGTGAAATTTTCCCCCCAAAAATCAAACATATCAGGATAAAGGTGTATACTAAATGAATAAATATTAGTAACAAGATAAAGTAGATTTTTATTTATTTTTTTGCTATTACTTAATTTTCCCTTCACATGAAATCAGAGCCCAATGCTGCTGCTTGTTTTACCTGCTGGGACTTGTTGAAGCGGTGAATTTCATCTATGAACAGAATAGTCTTCCTCTTGCAGAGTCTGAGCTCATTCTGCGCCTGCTTGATCACCTCTCGGACTTCATTGGTGGACGTGCTGGTGGCCGACAGGGTGACGAAACGAGCCGATCCCTTCTTTTTACTTGAGCTGGCAATTATGTGGGCAAGGGTAGTCTGGAAGAAAGGAAAAAAAAAACAAAACAAAACAAGATAATAAGGCTCTGAAAATGTTTTAAGATGCCCCTTTTAATAGTCAACTCAAGATTAAGGGGTTGAACAAATAAAATGAAGGTAAGTGTGCATTTTTTTTATGATTTAGACACATTTACTATCAGCTACTGCTTGTTAGACACACGAGAGAATGAAATGTGTCACTTAGGCTGGCTTGAAGCAACAAATAAAACAAAAATTCAGTCATTAATAAACATGCTGCTCAATCTTATGCCTGAGGGAAGAAGGATGAACAGATCCTGGGTGGGATAAGCTCCTGATCCAATGCCCCATAAGGGGTGGTCATAGTCTTTTTCTGAAGTCCACCAACCATCTGTGGGTCAAAACCAGGCCGCAGGCCCTTCACGACAATCAAAATGAGAGCTACAAGACAGCAGTCGTTAATTTCTTCTTGCAGCTGACTGTTTTGGGACCGGGATAATAGTTGATCTCACATGCTAAGCACCACAGATTGGGAGAGAGAAATGTTGAACAGGTCTGTCAGCAGCACCTGACCTATAATAATAACTTGAATGGGTGATGCCGTCATACAGTAAATGCTGCAGAAGGTGGAAGGAACACTTTCTGTGGCCATATATGAAACAGGAAGATAAATAATATATATGCATGGAAGTTGTAATGAAAAAAGGACAATTTTGCATGCATGATCTTAGCTGTCACCTGCACACCTTTCCGCATCCAGGTGGACCCCACAGGATCAGAGACGGGATCTCCTGAGAGTCCAGAAGTGACCTGATGAGGGTTTGCTGGCCTACAACTTTATTCTGACCAAAGTATTCCTCCAGTGTGTTTGGCCTCAGGATCTCAGCCAAAGGTTTGTCAAATGTAAACAACGTCCGCGGTGATTGAGTCTCATTTTTAGGCAGTTGGCTCAGCTGGGCTTCCGTACCTGCTGACCCAAACTCAGTCTCTGTCAGCACACGTTTAATCCCCTTACCGGCTGGACTTTGTTTACTCGTAAACACACCACTTCTTTCGGGTTGGACGTTGAGTTTTTCCTTGTTTGTCTTGAACAGAGAAAAGACCCTGGACTGTGTTCCGGCCATGGAGGAAGGAGAGCTGGGTGTGTTGACAGGTTCGGCCCTAATGCGAGACCTCTTCCCAGGAGGTCCGGTCTCGGCAGCGGCTGAAGGACTGCTGTCAGCAGAACTTTCTTGAAGACACGCGTCGAGGTGGTCGTTAATTGTTGCAGGTGTGAAGCTTTCAAAACAAACAGGACACTGCAAAGAATGTAGAACCGGAGGAGACCTGTCATCCGCCATATTGATTCCCGCGAAAATGCTATTTTGATCCCAAATCACGTGACCTAAGACTTTTAGAAATTTGTTTTTTTGTCTCTGAATAATTTAACTAAACTTAACTTAACTTATTAATGTCTAAGTTGTTAGCTACCGTGAATAAGACACTCGCGTGAAATTATTTTCTGTTGTCTCTTCCCCCCCCCCCCCCCCCCCGAAGTCACGACTTCGTGTTTGGTGCGTTTATGTACCGCGGAGACTGTCCGATATCTGAGATTTACCTAGCCATCGCCTTAGTTTCGAAGGAAAACGCACTTACTAGATTCAGAATGATTAAAAGATAAATAGACGTGTTAATTAATCCACATCAGTCATCAACATCATATCCTTCTTCTCTATTGCTTACTTGCACGGTGAAATCCAATAAGATTAATAAAATAAACACTTACAAAACATCATAATATTTCACACCTTTTCAGCTTTGTTCTGCAAAATGATTTTTCAGTTAAAGCTTTCTAACTTGTATAAACAATAATACACTTATGATGATATACATGTCAGTAATGTCAGTTTATCATTTAATTGTGTTATCATCCTTTTTTCACTGTGAATGTCCTTTAATAATAGCATTTTAAGTTGACAAATAAAAGGTTTTCTGACAGCTTTGGATGAGTTACTTTCATAAACCTCAAAACTGTCAATGTCAAAAACGCTGTAAAAATAGTAGTCATAATTTCAGGTAACAACATTAAACAGCAAAGCACTGATAAGCTCCTTTTTTGTGTTTAATTGAAAACATGAGTTCATTAGAGCTGGTGTTGATGCCAGAGGAGGCTTCTGTACATGCTGTGCATCATTTGTTGCATTTCTAATGTAGTTCTTGTGCATCATTGAACAGATTTTAGAGATAGTTTGTTTTTTTCCACCTTTTAGTTCTTTAACAATAGAAACACAATTTCCTCCATACTAAACACTGAAAAGCATTTAATCGGTATTCTAATCTGTTTTCTTGCTTCTTTTATCTCTCTGTACCGTCACAAGGAAACCAAATTTCCCTCTGCTTTGAATGTGATAATTTTGCTTTATTCTGACTTTCTGAAAAGAACGTGCATGCATTGTTTTGTAGTTACACATGACTGAGCACTCTATCTCTGCTGGCACCTGTCACTCTTTTGTAACAAGGACATGCTGCCCGTCCTTTGGCTCCAAGGTGTCAACCGGAGTGGCAGATTGACTGAATCTTCAGAGGTAGTGTGGGAAAGTTTAGAGTTAATTTCTGGGCGGTCCTGAGGATGAAGACTTGAGCAGCTTCTTTTAAAGCTCCTAATGAAGCAGAAGAAGTATGAGAAGTAAAGTGAAGGGCATGGAGACTTTGGTCACAGCGGGGAACATTTGGCTGGTCAACATCATGTGTCTGCTTGTTTCCTACCTCTGGCACAGGCTGCGTGGTTTACGCTGCTTCAGGAGAAGATACAGAACATTTACCAACCAGGCACAGGTTTGTTTCTGAAGCAGCTCTAAAACAGTAGTGAAGAAACAGCACAGAAATGTTGCCGCTTGTATTGTTAACATTTTAAAATTGATTCACACATTTTTAATGCTCTTTTGCTGGTGATTTTGTTTTGTAGAGTTTGCAAATGTTTAGATTAACTGCCAGAAAGTGAAATGTTTTTAATACTGGGCTGCAGCAGTTTTGTGTTGCACCTTTCTCTTTAGGTAGCAGAAGGCATGCAATTATTAAAAGAAAAACACACAGCTTTAGTGGCTTTCCTTTCCTGTCAGCCATTCAAGATTGGAAATGTATTTGCTCTATTTATTTAATGAAAAATGTTTATTTTATAAATAATACAATCTCATACTTACTTACTCTCATATTTAAAATAGCAGTATGACAAAGAAAAACTTTATCCTAAATTTATTGTTTTTATTTCACTGCTGATACAAATTAAATATAGTTTTGCTTTTGACTAAATATACCTGTAAAATTGTAGAGAAAATGCAGCAACCAAGGAAATAATGCACAATAACACAAAATAAGGATTTCTAAACTTAAGCATGGATGTAGTTTTGGGAGGGGGACAGGGGGGGACATGCCCCCCCCCCCCCCCCCCCACACACACACTTTTTCCAAAGTCAATTTTTGTCCCATGCACATTTTATCGTCCAAAAACAATATTACGCTATATTAAATAGACACTGGTGGAGCCCTAGGACCAAGCGGCTGTGTCCCCACAAAAACTACGTCCATGCTCACTTTTACACTCGGTTGTTCCCATGTCATCTATCTAAAGGTCGTATAATTAAAGTAACTAAGTGTGATGGATTATTGTCTCAGCAGTAACACGGTTCTATGTGACATCTGATATTTGTTTTGACGTTATGTCATAGACGGAGGTCAATGGGAGCAGATCTGATGTTTTTATCAGCTGTTGAACAGTGACCTCTAGTGGTAAATGTTGCCAGGTGCAGAGAAAACTTCGTTGATTATATTGTTTTTTTGCTGCCATCTAGTGGCTAGAATGGAAAACCGTGTGGGACTTTTGTGATTTGATTGGTCAACAGCCAAGAAGGTCAAATGAAAGAAGTTTTAATGATGTTTGATCAATATTTTTTGTTTCCATCATTGTCTCTCTTGTTTAGAGTGTCTGAGACAGATCTTTTTGGGACATGGGTGTTTAAACGGTGCAAACCGGTTTATAAATACACACAGGGAAAAATTCTCTTCAGTGTTGTGATGTTAATTATACCTCAGAGAGCAGCTGAAGTCCTCTCACCTGCTCTTATTTCCATTCCTCTCAGCATTCAGAAGAGCCACAGTGACATTTACAATGAGACAGACACAAGTGGCAAAGCCTTTGTGCACCCTGACAATGACCGTAGCACTGCTAATGGCATCCTTAATAAAATGCTGCTTCTTCATATTCATATTATGTTTATCATCACTCCTACCACTACTTTAAATAATAACGTCAACTTTCTGATAAAAAAAAATACTCATGTTTAAAGAAAATACTCCAGAAAATGTTTCTTTTTTTTTAATTAAAAAAAATCACTTTAGGGCAGATTTGATGGATAAAATTACAATCTTCGATGTTTAAAGTTATTTGGCTTTCAGTTCTAACAGCCCTGCTTTGACTTCATACTGTTGTCTGTTTTTAGAGAAAGTCTTCTTGGCAGGAAAATGAGTCCATAATTCAGGCTGTAATGCTTAACTGTTTACAAATCAACAAATTCAAGTCCAGTATGGGTTTTCTTTCATGTTTGTGTGCAAACTGCACTAAGTAATTTTTTTATTTTTGCCATTTTTAGTTATTTTTTTCAAAATTAACTTGACTTGATCTGGACTATCAACTGTTGAATTCAGATTCTGCAGATGAACAATGCCACCTATAATTTAAATAAATCTTTAGATAAAACAACTGAATTTGCACATACTTAACTTGTGTGACTAAAATATTGAAATTATTCAAATTATAATTCTGCTTCTAAATTATTTTTGGTGACGTTGTAGGTTGCCTAAGCAACCTGTGAACATATGACAGCATTTGGACAATCCCAAGAAATCTGTTCAAGTGCAGATACAAACTAAGTTCCCATGCCAGGGCACAAACATGAGATGAAAGAACGGAGGAGACAAGGAATTAAGTTTCACACTTCATCCCAGAAGTTTCCGAGAGAAAGTGTAGCCCGAGCTGTCTGCCAGAGGGCGAAGTGACAGTAGAGACACCAAAGGTGACTGGACTCTTACCAGACGGCACGTCCTTCTGCACTCCCCGGGACATTGTGTTCTCTGCCTGGGAGAGAGTGTTCCATTTTTAACAGCTGGCCTTGTCTCAGTGCCAGACAAATGCCCCAAGATGAGTTAAGTAAGCCTCAATGTTTAGGCTATGAACAGGTAAAGAAACACACAACACACAACTTTTTCATAACTGCTCTCAATTGTTCTCTTAATTACAGGGCTTATGAGAGAAAAAATATATTTTAAGGTGTTTCTTGAAGGAAGTCGGTCAGTAGCACCCAATAGTGTATGAAATCAATCTAAAAAAGTTTTTAAAGAGCAAGTCACCCCCAAATCAACTTTTTTTTGCTGATAAACTACATACATGAGTGTCTAATTGTGCTGTAGACACATGTAGTCAATATTTTGGCCCTTTCGTGCTTCTTAGTAAAAATGTAAATATTCAATTCAATTCAATTCAAGTTTTTTGTATAGTGCCTAATCAAGACAAGAGTTGTCTAAAGGCACTTCACAGAATAAACATTCCAATACAGGTCAGTTCATTAAACCATCCATCCATCCATCCATCCATCCATCCATCCATCCATCCATCCATCCATCCATCCACCCATCCATTCATTTTCATCCGCTTATCCGAAGTTGGGTCGCGGGGGCAGTTGCCTAAGTCGAGAGGCCCAGACTTGTCTCTCCCCAGACACTTGGGCCAGCTCCTCCGGGGGAATCCCAAGGCATTCCCAGGCCAGGTGAGAGACATAGTCCCTCCACCGTGACCTGGGTCTACCTTTAGGTCTCCTCCCGGTTGGACATGCCTGGAAAACTTCACCAGGGAGGCGTCCAGGAGGCATCGTGACCAGATGCCCGAGCCACCTCAACTGCTCCTCTCGGTGTGGAGGAGCAGCTGATCTACTCCGAGCCCCTCCCGAATGACCGAGCTTCTCACCCTATCTCCAAGGGAGAGCCCAGCCACTCTTTGGAGAAAACTTATTTTGGCCGCTTGTATCCGCGATCTCGTTCTTTCGGTCACTACCCAAAGCTCATGACCATAGGTGAGGGTAGGAACGTAGATCGACCGGTAAATCGAGAGCTTCGCCTTCTGACTCAGCTCTCTCTTCACCACGACAGACCTTTACAACGCCCGCATCACTGCAGATGCAGCACCAATCCACCTATCGATCTCACGCTCCAGTTTTCCCTCACTTGTGAACAAGACCCCGAGATACTTAAACTCCTCCACTTGGGGCAGGACCTCATCCCTGACCCAGAGAAGGCATTCTACCCTTTTCCGAATCAAGACCATGGTCTCAGATTTAGAGGAGCTGATTCTCATCCCAGCTACTTCACACTCGGCTGCGAACCGCTCCAGCGAAAGCTGAAGATCACGTTCTGATGAAGCCAACAGGACCACATCATCTGCAAAAAGCAGAGACCTGATCCTCAGGCCACCAAAACAGATG